TTCAATACAACAAAGTAAAAAGTAAAACGATGTTCCTAAATCTTGCCATAAATAGAAGAAAATATTTTTTTACCAAAGAGTGAGGAATTATAAAATGTTATATTAAAAGTTATAGTAAAATAATTTTTTCAACGTCACTGGCATTTGGATGGTCGAATAACATAATAAATGTTTAATCAATCAAATTTATTCGATTATTACTGTTTATTGAAATTTAATAGTGATGTAAACATTAAATGAATATCTCTGTTTTATAGTAAGATTAATGTTCACAATTATTTATATCTGCTGTTTAACTTTATTTATGTCTCTTCAACGACGTTTTTTAAATTGGATCAAGTGAAAGCATCATTCGCAACAAAAATACAGTAACGATTCACAACTTTCTCTCAAACAGGGAAAATACTTTTTTCATGAAAACTGGAGAGTTGCGTAATGAAAAAATCTCGTCGTTATCCATCGCAGCCTGTACTTTTGCAGCACTTGTTTTTTCCCAAACCGAATTGTTCGCTTGTTTACGTAAATTTTCTTTGTTCCTTACGATGGACAATCGTAAGGTTGAGTAATAATTACTAGTTCATTACTAATTACTGGTTTATTGCAGAAAGTGTGGGGAAAATGCATTTGAATACACGCATCCTATTTAATCTTCGTTTTCTGACGTTAATTACAAAATTGGAATTATATGAGCAGAGATATGTCCCTCTTGTTAAAGCGATTTGTAAATAACGGATTGCTTCATCTTAACTAATGTTCTTACCTATTCACAATGCAGACATACTATTAACACTAAAATTAATGAAAATTTCGAATCTTGTCGATGATAATGATATTTAAAAATCTCCTATATATCTTGCAAGAATTAAGAATATTTTTATCAATGAATCAAGTGAGAGGATCATTATTGAAAAAATGCAGCGATGTTAGTCTAGATCCATTTAAAAAAATTAAAATTTTGTATTATAATTTGCAAAGCTAGGTTGGAAATAAGTGACTGAAATTCGCTAAATAACTGAATAATTTTCCAATCTGAATCAATACCGACAATTTTGAGAACTTTTTGAAAGATAACCATTGGAAGCATGACTTAAAACGAAACATGTAAAATGTTCCTTAATGTTTATTTAAGTAAATGAAAATTTTTTATTATAGTTCGAAAAGCTAGTTTCGAAAAAAAATTGAAATTCGTTAAATAACTGAGCAATTTTAGAATCTGGATCAATATTAACAATTTTAAGAATTTTTTAAAAGGTAACGAGTGGAAGCATGACCAAAGAAAAATATGTAAATGTTCCTTAATGTTTATTTTAATAAATGAAAATTTTCAGTTATCCTAATTTCGAAAGTTAGGTTGGGAAAAGATTGACGAATTTTGTTAAATAACTGACACTGAAAATTTAGAATAATAACACCAACATCAAAAAATTTTTTAAATATTATGTATGGATGGACGATTTAAAAAAAATTTGTACAAATGTTCCCCAATGCACGTTTGAACAGAACAAAATTCTTTCTGCTGAAAATTCAAGAGGAAGACGTTAAACAAATTTTTTGAATTTCGCGGATATTCGCGCATTCAAAAACTTGGGCTGTCCACAGTATTCCAAAAAAAGCTTTTTTTAATTCTGCGAATGAAAAGAAACTCGACTTTCGTTTAACCCTTAAATGCATATTGTTGCCAATTGTCTACATTCCAGTTCCACTTAATTTTATTCAAAAACCTGAGTATGTGCGTTTCCGAACACACGTTGATAACAATAAACAATAGACCATGTGTGAAATAGAAGACTTGACATTACTTTTGGCGAGTAAGTTATATGTTTTTTGACATTTGAATGTGGTGGGTGATAACTTCCAGGTTGCAAAGGATTTTCACGAACTGAGTGCATAAAATGCAAGGTTGCTTTGTGTCACAACAAAAATCGCAATTGTTTTGCTGCATTTCATTTATAAATAATGTGAAGATTCGTATACTAATAGATAATATAAATACATGACCATTTGTTTACGTCTACAATAATTTTAGTAATAAACGCATATTGTTGCCAAAAGTCTACATACAACTTTTTTTCAAAATAAATACTCAATATTATTACCTAGATTTTTTAATTTATTTTTTACGTAACCTATGACTACATTCCTATAAAAAACGATTTTTTAAAATTCAAAACAAAAAATCATGCATTTAAGGGTTAAATGAGAACGTTATTTTTTCACTAATTATACATTGAAATAATTACAATTATTGTGGGCGAAACAGCTGTATTCTGATAAATAAGCAAAATGTTGTTGATTCTAAGTGAAACAAAGGTAAGCGAAAGGTTGAACCGTTTCGGTCACTGTTGCATTTGTTTCTCCGCTGTTAGATTTACATCCAGGAAGGCTTGTTGGTCGCGGATGGATCGGAGTACATGAGAGTTTATGGACTGCGAAATTGCGGCCCGAGTAGGATACTTGCGGATAAAGGAAACAGGAACGAATTTCACGACCGAGGGGATAGCGAAATCCGCATGCCTTGAATCGCATTATTCCACGGACTGGCATTGTTACCGAGATTCGATTAGATCAAGAATATATGTATAATCCTTATGCACGCGATTTTCGAGAAGATTAGTGAAAGTTAAAGACCCTGAACTATACGGAAACGTTCCGTCTATTTTAAGAAATCCCATTATGCTCCAGAACAATTCAACTCTACTTTTATCACCCACGGTGCATTTTTCACATTTCTGCACTGGTTTATCCCATCTATTTGCATATACATACAACGGTTTCACTATACGCAGTGTCTCTGAAAAGTATGTACAAGCGGGCACCAGGTGATTTCGCATAAAATAAAACATGAAAAGAGTTTAGAATAGCTTTTTCTTCTTTGAGACTTAGTTTGAATATTCGCGCATTAGTCTTTTACTTTTTTTTTGTCATTCCAAGCAATAGCAAAATTTAAAAAAGAAAGCATTCTAGTCGCGGTCTAGTGGACTGATTCCTCTATTATTTAAACAAAAATTCGAGTCGTTTAGTTCAGTTAAAAAAATACTATTGCGTTTTGAAAGGTGTACGAACGCTTTTTGTGGGCCACCGTATATAATAAATATAATATAAACAAATTGTGTATAATAACGACGCGGTTATTGTTTGCAAACTGTAAAAAATTCAAGTATATCGCGAGTATACAAGTATGTGCGATTCCCTATCTATAAAATCAAGAATGTCGTGTAGAATAAAAATGATTCTAGATCAGAAGAATAGCTATAAAATCTTGCTTATTGTTATTTTGTAACAGATTGCAGATGTACTTATCAAAATAATAAAAAAAAAAAAAGATCAGAAGAAACGGCAAAAAGTTTCTCCCCTCTATTGGAAAATCGACTTTCCCCTCTGGAAATGTTTACCAGAACAAGTGTTAAATTTCCAAGTTTATTTAGCTTCGGTTCAGGTGGTTTTCGGGGTGCAGAGGGTGCGAGCCAGCTGATCTCTGTGGTGCCGCCGCGGCGACAAAGGAGCCGGCGATGCATCCCAGCCGACGGAATGCAGTTTACCGGAAAAGTTAAATCGCGCGTTGCAAATCTGTCGTTGAGCGCGGACACCGGGTCAACGGTCTGTGAACGCGGTGAAGTAACGACCAGCTGGTCGCTGTTCTTCGATTTGATCCTGTTTCCTAGCCTCAATTATATCCGGTTTGCGCGACAGGTTGCTGCGCGTGTAACTCCTGAGCGATTACGCGCGGTACGCCTGCAACACGCGCCCGCTCCTGGCGGTGTTCCATTTCATTCGGCCGAGACGACGCAACGAGATCAAAGACAAGCTGACCTTGCGACAATGCATAGTTACTCGTATGGCAACTGTTATAGCCTATCCAGAGTTGGCACACAATTTACGTAACTGTTCCTTCAAATGATTATTTAAGTGAAGCATTGTTTGTTATTTGTGAGTTTTTTAAATAATTATGTATTATTTATATAGATCTAAATGAATTATTTAAAATGATAACATTTCTTTTCTTATTTGTAAATGCAATTTCAGTTGTTACTTATTACCAATTACGTCAAAATTATTGATTAATAATTACGTATTATTTATATAGATCTAAATGAATTATTTAAAATGATAACATTCCTTTTCTTATTTGTAAATGCAATTTTTTCAGTTGTTACTTATTACCAATTACGTAAAAATTATTTATTAATAATTACGTATTACTTATATAGATCTAAATGAATTATTTAAAACGATAAAATTTCGTTTCTTATTTGTAAATGCAATTTCAGTTGTTATTTATTAATAATTACGTAAAAGTTATATATTAGTAATTATGTATTATTTATATAGATCTAAATGAATTATTTAAACGACAAAATTTCTTTTCTTATTTGTAAATACAATTTCAGCTGTTACTTTTTAATTATTGTTCATTATTTATTTGGCACAACGCGTCGAGCATAGATCACAGTCAGGAAATGATGGTCTTCGATTGCACCGTACGCGATATTATTGAATTTGCGAAGAAAGACGAAAATAAAGTAAATTCTTCCTAATTGCCTTGTGGCTCATTTTTATAGTTGTTGACAATCGGTAACTATAAAACATTACATTCATAAATAATTAATTAATATATATATATATTTATATATATATATCATTTTAATTTAATTTAAATTATATATATTAATATAATTATAATTATATATAATTAATATTTATTACACGATGAACAAAATAAAAAATTATTTATTAACCGTACAAATCGCATTCCAATAATAATACAGCGTAATATGTATTTTCCTTATCTCTCTATTCCATGATAACAATTATTTGCCCGACTTTCCCTGTGAGTGTGAAATATCACGTATGTGAAAGGTTGACGAGACGCAGCGACTATCAACGCATAACTCTGAACTGGTATTATCAATTCCCAGAAAATAAAAATGAAAAAAAATAAAAATGAAGTTTAAGGTCGAAGAGCAAGATCGACGGCAGAGGTATAAAATAGCGAGTACTCGTTGTAATTACTATCGACAGCTCAGTACAAGATCTCTCGCTGCCGCAGATGCGTTCGTTGCACGTTGGCAGTATCCAAAAAAATTAATCGGCGCCGATAGAAACAGTTCGAGCTTGATTCGACAGCCAGCATCGGAGACACAATCGTTGCTAGTGATCCTCAAGCAAAGAAATTGAGACTGCCAATATGCAGAAGTTTTCGCTGACGTTCCTCGTGACTACATTAGTCGCACTCTTCGTTGCGGAGTTCTCGAGTGGTCATCCTACGAATGTCTCACAATCAACCAACTACACCAATATAATCGGAGGTGAATATCATAAGGTAAAATCAAATCGGGGTAAAATCGTATCATAAATCGGGGCAATGAAAACATTGAAATACACAATATTGAACAGTATCTTCCTTCTAAAATACACTCGTATTCGAATCAACATTTTTCTCATTTCTCATTGGTACATAAGAGCGTGAGTGAATTTATAAAGAACAATGTTCAAACATATGGCCAAAATTGTTGCATCCACATTCACGTGGTCGGTCTACTTTTTAGTGCACTGTGGCGGCTACCTTCAGACCCGCCAACAGATGGCTCTTCTTCCCGCAAGTAATCAATCCGCCTCAATTTGTATATATGTTACAGTGAAACACCGAAATCTGGAGAATGTCGACTTTCACCGGTGAATGTCAACATTCGCATAGTCGCTTGGTGTATGTCCGAAATATTTGCTAAATACCCTTATTTCTGACTTACACCGGTAAATATTGACATTCACCATGCACTGATGGTGAATGTTGAACATGTTGGAGATTTATATTTTCTTCTCCGTAATTCAGTCGCTATAAAACGCCACAAGGGTGACGTAACTTTTTCGCCTCTCTTACTGAAAGGAATGACCAAGAATTTAAAATACACGGTACATTCTACATGAGAAAAGAAAATAATAGTAATAAAAAAATTTCTTACTTATGTGATTCAAATCTTATTTATTGCAACAACTTAAACTATTATGACACTTTGAATTGCACAAAAGTCCCTTGCTTCTACAACTGCATTTATTTGTGGAACACTTCCTTTTGCAATGACAGGTTTTGGACCTCCACCAGAGCATATCTGTGATTGTCGACACACACCGGAGAGGGTCCGAATGTACAACAATGTAATGAAATATTCGATCTTTCACCGACGTATTTGGTATCTGTTGACATTCACCGGTGAAAGTTGACATTCTCCAATTTCGGTCATTCACGGTAACATATACATGTACAGATTTCGTCCTTCCTACCGACATCCCACGTCTAAGGCAAGGGCCCGCTAGGATAGCCTTACTGATGAGTCCTCTAACGGGTCCTGGACGAAATGTCTCCCCCTCTCCTTTTCTCCTTAACATAGTCACATTCAACCACCGCCAAAGTATTACTTATACTTCTCTTTCAACTAGAAGTTGCAACTGAGCTGCGTTTCATAATGGGTCCTCCTACCTTATCCGTGTCAAGAATTAGGGGGAATTTTCATCATAACATAAATGATAAACAATTACGAAAGGATAATCATCCTTATATTTTGCGGACAGGAATAACCATTAAAAATAAAGGAAGTAGATTTTGATTGCAAATAATCATTATCGACGACGAGAATGTTAATTGGTTAGGACGACCATTATACAGGATGTCCCAAAAATGTCTTGCAATTTGAAAATGGGAGGTTCCCGAGGTCATTTGAAGTAACTTTTTCCTTGGCGAAAATGCAATTACTGGCTTTGTTTACGAGTTATTAACGAAAAACAGTGACCAATGAGAAGCAAGCTCGGCCGACGAGAGGCGTCCCGCCAACAGTGCATGAAGCCCAGTTCAGCTTGTTGGCTTGGCCGTCTCGCGCCAGCCTCTCATTGGTCACTGTTTTTCGTTAATAACTCGTAAACAAAACCGCGGATTGCATTTTCGCTAAGGAAAAAGTTACATCAAATGACCTGAGGAACCCCCCATTTCCGGATTTCGAGACATTTTTGGGACGCCTTGTATTGTATAACTATAATATGTATTTTATGTATACATATTCACATAATTTTACATATACGAACATTATTTGAGATTATGATAATTATCTTTCAATTAAGAATGATTTNATTCACATAATTATATATGTATATATAATATATATAATATAATATATATATAATATATATAATATAATATATATATAATATTATATATATATATATATATATATATATATATATATATATATATATATATATATGTGTGTGTGTGTGTGTGTGTGTGTGTGTGTGTGTGTGTGTGTGTGTGTGTGTGTGTGTGTGTGTGTAATGTATGTATATGTATATATGTATATATATATGTACACATTATTTAAGATTATAGTAATTATAACTTTCAATTAAGAATGATTTAAGAACACAAAAAACTTATTGACAATCGGTAACTATAAAGATGAGCCGCAATACTCGAATAATCGTATCTCATCTTCCCAAATTGTCCATTCCTGCATGGAAGCTGAGGGTTAAAATTAGGGAGAATTTACTGTAGTTGGTAAACGTCCGAAATTCTTACTAGGAATCTCGTTCCGACAACCCGGGGGAAAAATCTGTTGTACGCCCATCTTAGATAGGAGCGATTATGTTGTTACGCCGGGCCTAGGAGCCCACAAGATTCATAAACGCAGGGCGACATGGAACGAAGCCCGAAAGATCTGTCTGATGGAAGGAGGTATGACAAGATCGCGACTAGTTTGCAAAAAGGGATGGAAAGTAAAGGTTATTCTGTCTCGCAGCTCACTTGGCTGTGTTAGATTCTACTAGGAAAAACAACCTGTTCAAAGAATGGATGTCTCAAGAGTCCTTGGAAACCCTCTGGTTAGGCTTTCACGACCTGTTTGAGGACGGCTCCTGGACCACCGTGACCGGCGATTCGGTCGATACAATGGGCTATCATCCATGGGCTAAAGGCGAGCCCAACAATTTGAGGAATGGACGAAACCATGGACAGCATTGTGCGATCCTTTCGGTACACGTCATGGAAGCCATGGGAGCTGATGACGGCCACTGCGATGGCACGTCTCCGTTCGTCTGCGAAATCGATTTGTGTGGACACCTAAATCCCCCTACTGTTCCCAATGCAGAGTCGATCTCAAAAGTCAGTTAATAAATCCCCTTTGAAGTAAGATTATCATAGATTGTTCAGTATCGTTGTAACAAGGATATCAAGATTCTTTGAAACTCATATGGAATAAACAATTTTTGTCATCATGATAATTGCAGTTCTCAACGTTTAGACTGCCAGCATGATGCCATATGGAGTTTACTAATATTGTAACGTATTGAGGAGAGATGTTCTCTCATTCCTTTGACTCGATTGGTGAGGAGAAATAATTATTTATCTACAATTATTTCAGAAAAAAATGTATTCTTAGTGAAAAAATGCCAGCAGTCTAAAGAGGTTAAGAAGCCCGTTCTACTCGCACGGGAACATTTCAACAACACTGCAACTATTCTCGGGACGAGAACGAGTACCAACACGAACTAATCTTTATCGCGTTTGATTTTTGATGCATCGATTGAAGCGTTCCTGTAGACGGAAAAGTGATACGTTAACTATGTAGCGGCACACGGTCGGCGACCGTAATAATCATAAAACTGTCCGCTTGCAGATGTCAAGGGGTCGACGGAGAGAAAACGTCCTTGACGTTTGCAAGAACCGGAAATTCCTTTGTCTCTTTATTTTTTATCACTGCCAGATGTACTGCATGCCTGGTCGCGGAGAAAGCCGCCGGCCGCGTACCGCTACCTGGCCGAACGGCCAGCGCGCCCCTACAGCGAGGGTTCATCGATGGCTGTCTCCCCCGCCAAACTAAACGGGGGTAAAAGAAGACAGCGAGTCCCCCAAAACAGGCGTGGCCTTTTTGGGGGACGTAATATAAATAAGAGACCCCAGTCAGTCAACGAGCCAGTCGGTACTTTTCAGTTTAGTTTTTCTGAGCCCTCAACTACATTAAAAGTCTACTTTAGGCTCGTTTATTATAATCAGATCTAACAATCATACAACATACTATGTATTTTGCTTATCTCGTTATTCTATGATTAGAACAATTATTTAGAAAACAAAATAAAACCAAACAATTATTTGTCCGAATTTCCCTGCGAGTAGGAAATAACACGCTTGTGAAAGGTTAACGACACAGCGACTTGTAATGTATAATTCTGAACCGAAATGATCAATCCCTGGAAAATAATGAGGTCCGAGGTCGACGAGCAAGGTCGACGGAAAAAGTATAAAATCGAGCAGTTCGAGTTTGACCCAACAGTCAGCATCGAAGATGGAATCGTTGCTAGTGATTCTCAGGCAAAGAAGTTGAGACTGCCAGTATGCAGAATTTTTCGCTGACGTTCTTCGTGATTACCTCGGTCGTATTTTTCGTTGCGGATTTCACGTGTGGCCAACCTACGAATGTCTCGCAATCAATCATTAACAACAATACGGAAATCGAAGATAAATAACATAAGGTAAAAGCAGAGACCAAAAAATAACAGTTGTATCAGAAATTTGATAAAGAAAAATCATCGATAGAAATTTGATTGTTATTCACACAAAGTGTTGCAATCATTCAATTTTCAAGGAAATTTGAAGAAATCCAATGTGATTAGAAAAATATACGATTTATGTTGCGGTTAGAAATAACCATCGTAAATGACGAAAATAGATTTCGTTTACAAATAGCCATTATATTTTTAATTTAATTAACATTATACTCGACGAAAATAGTTTTTGTTTATGGATAATCATTACAAATGAGTAAAGTAGTAAAGTACACGCATTTACCAATTACGGAACACCGTTTTTTATGTACCATGTCCCGGAGTTCCATATATCGGGACAATGAAAACATTGAAGTACACAATATGAAACAGTATCTCCTTGCTCGGATACACTGACATTCGAATCAACATTTTGCTTATTCCTCATTGATACATAAGAGCGTGAGTGAATTTATAAAGAACAATGTGATCTGTCTATTTTTTAGTGTTGATACGAGTCGAGGGCCAGGCAGCTTTGCGTGGCCGGAGGTTGGACGCGATTTTGGAATTTTGATAAGGGAATTATGTGGTAAGGTTTTTACTTTGTTAAAAAGAATATTAAGATCCTTTAAAACGCCAGGCTGGCGCCAGCCGGCAGGCCTCGGTCTGTATATCGTGAAACAAGTATAGTACATTCTCCCTGATTGACGCTCAGATTGTGCACAAAAATCGACAATTTGGGCAAAGGAGATACGATTATTCGAGCCTTGCAACTCGTTTTTATAGTTGTTGACAATTCGTAACCATAAAAATGGTTACGTTAAAGTATCGTCACTGAACGGAAACTCGCTCCGGAAATATGCACAGTGCACGTGGTTTCTGTATATATGTTGTTCTAAGACTTAAATAATAACTGTGCCGAATAAAACAATCGTTGCTCTAATGTAACAAGTATATTTAAATTTTTAATTTAAAAATACTCACAAAATTATAGGTAACATAGGTATTTATATAATTACAAAGCCTAACGATTAAATGTTTAATATAATTAATAACGAGACGAAAATGATTAAAATATAGTAATATGTAAAAACTAATAATATAATTCTGTGTGATATATTTGTAAGCAAGGATCTATGAAAAGGCCAACATCGCAATCTTTGCACTCGTACCGAGAATCCGCTCTTTTATCATTTCTGCTACAAATTACACATCTCCGTCTTCTGTATACACTTCATTTCGATGCCGCATATATGCGGCATATCTCCTCTTCCTAAATTGTCCATTTTTGTGCACAATCTGAGCGTCAGTTAGGGAGACATTACTGTACATCGTTACAAGGTTATAAGCCACCGCCTACTCAGTGCGACAAACTGAGAGCGCGATTCTAGAATTCGCGATACACTCATGCACATACAATTCTATTAGATTGAAAGCTACTATCTTTTACCAGTCTATCAAATTGTCAAATTCAATTATTCCATTTCCTGATCTGAAGCAGTATGTTACGGCCAAGTGGCCAGGATTTATGGCAGGGGCCATGTGTTTGGGTACCCGGACGGTATGGGTCTGTCCCGGGCCGTTCCCGGGCACATGTGGCACCGTCATAACGTCTCCTGGTCCTTGAGTACGGTCCAGTCAACTACGGTTGGGTCTGGCATTGTTCGGGCACGTAGGCCCATCAGCGCGGGAGGTCTAGCAGGAGTTATTTTGTCACTCTCCCTCCTAACTCCCGGCCCACCATTTTGGGGCAGTCTCAATTGATATGGGATTGCAGTGATTGGACCGTAATTCCTTGCCGCCCACCCTAGGTTAAGTAAAGGTAGGGATAACCGAGGTGACCTCGTGGGTGCCACACGGTTATTCTTCAGTCCTGAACTGTCCATCCACCCTGATCCATCTTGAGTCGTCAGTGGATACAGAGGTCTCCCGGGAAGCTAGTTATTGGAGCACCCGGTTAGCGAAATATAGTTTTAGTCGGCACACCACGTGCAAAATACTACAAGGCTCGACGCTCACAAGGAGCACCACGAGCATTAACACAGTAGTTACCACGAACCCACAGAGATACATCTTCACCGCTCGAGATGTATCTTCATGTCTTTTCTTGTTAAGGCTACGAGGTAATCAAACTCTAAATTTCTAAAATAGACTAAAAAATAAACTCTAAAAATACTCTAAAAAAAACTCTAAAATAGAATAAAAATTTCTAAATAGACATCGGCTAGTCCCCGAAACGTATTCTATAAACCTAGCAGCGACCCGTCGATGAAAGAAGCTACGGCAAGTGCACGCAATTCCCTTATCAAAATTCCAAAATTGCATCCAACCTCCGGCCACGCAAAGCTGCCTGGCCCTCGGCTCGTAACAATATTTACCTTCGAATTCCGTATTGTTGTTCTTGGTTGATTGGGGGACATTCGTAGGTTGACCACCCGAGAACTCCGCTACGAAATGTGCGACTAAGCTAATCACGAGGAACGTCAACGAAAACTTCTGCATATTGAGATATCTCAACTTCCTTGCCTGAGTATCACTATCAACGATACTATCTCCGGTGCTGACTATCGGGTCAAGTTCGGATTGCTCGATTTTATACTTCTGCCGTCGATCTTGCTCTTCGACCCCGGACTTCATTATTTTCCGGGGATTGATCATTCCAGTTCAGAATTATGCATTACGTGTCGCTGCGTCGTTAATTTTTCACAGACGTGTTATTTCCCATGAACAGGGAAAGTCGGGCAGATAATTATTTGGTTTTATTTAGTTTTTTAAATAATTGTTCTAATCATAAAATGACGTGATAAGTAATATATATATAATATAATAATATTATATTATATATACATAATATGAGCCGTTTATTTTGAAAGTGGCATATATAAGTCACTTTGTTTTTAAGTCGAGATATTTAACGAGATATTTTAATACGTTTAAAAATATGGATGCTGACTTTTGAGAAGATTTACTTGTATTTGTTATCCCAGGATACTGATATTTTTCTCAGTATAAATAATTTCGTATAAACATTAAAAAATCACCACTTTTCATTACAGTAAAGTGACTTAAGCCACTTTCAAAATAAATAGTTTAGAAAAATGACTGACATATTAATTTTGTCCGACGTATTTTATTGAAGTGGTGTTTTGAAAGGACAGTGATTTACTAAAATTGTTGAATAAATTACATATATGAGCCGTTTATTTTGAAAGTGGCATAAGTCACTTTTTTTTTAAATGAAAAGATACCGTTCAATTGTAATTAGTGTTACCATGAACTCGATTTTTCTGAAAAAGTGACTTATGCCACTTTCAAAATAAACGGCTCATATGCTTCAAGAGGTCTATAAAACGTCTTTAAAACATCTTTAAAACGTCTTTGAAAGTCTCACAGTAATGTTATTTATAAAAACAAATTTGAAATAATAATCTATGACGAAGAAGTTAGCAGCTCCAGGTAACTTCTCTGCACTAATTACGCTTAACAGACGGGTTGATTTTTCTCTGTTTTTCTCGGTTTCCAGGCATTTCTTAGGAGGATTAAATAAACATGTATGTTTCAAAGCGTTGCAGTTTTATTAAATTAACACTATCCTTGATAAAATTTTACAAAGCTATTAATTTACATGTCGAGTATTCAAAAAATATTAATAAAGTATTAACAAATATTCGACATTTTATAAGCACGAGCCAATATTGTTATTTAAACAAATTTCCCGACACATGTTACTGACATCATTGCAGAGCACTGTTGACAAACTATTAAAGCAGATATCATCAAAAAATAAAATTTACTCAATTATGTACTTGCGGCCACATTGTACAGCTTAAAATATCATAAAACTTTGTATTTAATCATTTTTTAGTATCTTATATCCTTCTGAAAATATTGGCGGTAATAAAGAAATTCTTCACTCAAGGTTATTCCTCAAGGATCGTTTTAGAGTATGCTTTGATATTAACTTCATTTTAGGGATAACTTAAACTGCACTTGCGTAAAGTTGCAGAATTTTTGGAAATTTCGCGAGTTCCCGATGTTCCCTTGTAAGTTATCGTACAAAGCGAATGGTACGGTATCGTCTAATTAGACAATTGTCTGGATTTTCATAATTGGGACGGCTTGCGATCATTTGCAATAAAGTCAGCTATTTATTCGATCGTTCTAGGTTTTCGTATTGAAATTGGTCTTCCCGCATTATGGTCATCTTCTAACGATTCTCTGCTATCCAAAAACCGGTTATGCCACATGAAAACATTTGATCGACATAAACAAGCATAACCATACACTTGTCCCATCAACCAGAATGTTTCTGTTACACTTTTACCAAGTCTCGCATTCAATTTAATAACCGCTATTTGTTCCATGATATAATTTCAACATCGATTAAAGATTTCGTCAGAACGAATTATCCTAACTTTGTCATTTATACTACGATTGGGATAAACTCAGGTGCGTTAGACAGACAAATGATTGACTTTTGCAAAGATGCTACTAGTAGGTAGCCACGTCGTAAATAATTATGTGGTGAGCGAAAATAACACACCAGGAAATAAAAATAGCCTAATAATAAATAAAAATAGCCTAATAAATAAATGATCAGAATGAATTATCCATAACTAACAGAATTACTTAATTATTCGTTCTTTTTTGGTGTTATAAATAAATCGACAATACCTTGCCAAAAAATCTTCATCTTGAAATGATCACGTGAAAGCTGTTTTGACATAAATGCAATACGAACAAATATAATAAAGAATATCAAATAAAAAGCAGAGAACATGAGAGACAGGAAGCAAAATCCGGAAAAACGCGCAATCACAAATGTACTTTCTACGTACATATATGTTTCTCCTTTTCATTAGTCTACCATTGCCGTAAAAATAAAGTTGTCTAAAAAGTACAATGTAAACTGAGGTACAAACTGAAATACAAATAATATTAAAAAATCTTTGCAATTCGACATCAATCAAGAACGTAAAAAAAAACTCTAAGAGCGTCATCTTCCAGAATTAAAAAATTTTATAATTTTCACTTCAATACCCAGTCGGCCTGGCTCCAATCGAAGCCGGGTAAAATCTGTAGTACTCCACGTGATACGATAAACCGCTTTTTTTTAATGGTAAATGCGACGATCTAAAGGTTAAGAAGCCTGTTATACACGCACGGGAATATTTCAACAGTACTGCAATCATTCTTAGGATGGGAACGAGTACACCAAGACGAACCAATCATCATCGTGTTTAATTTTTTATGCATCGAATGAAGCATTCCACGGGAAGTGATACGTTATCTACATCAAAAGGCTCAACGGAAGTCTAGTGTAGGCTCGTTTATTATAATCAGACAAATCGCCCTCTAGGAATCTCATACGACGTATTATGTATTTTCCTTATCTCGATATTCTATGATTAGACAAATTATTTAAAAAAAAAAACAAAATGGAACGATAGAATTATTTACCCGACTTTCTCTGTGCATGCGAAATAACACGCGTGCGAAAGGTTAACGACGCAGCGACTTGCACTGGAATTATCAATTCCTGGAAAAAAAATGATGTCCGACGTCGAATAGCAAGGTCGACGGTAGAAGTATAAAATAGCGAGTACTCGTTGCAATTACTATCGATTGCACAGTACAAGATCTCTCTCGTCGCTGTCGATGCGTTCGTTGCACGTTGGCAGTAACCAAGAAAATTAATCGGCGAAGATCAGTTAGGCGCCTAAACAGTTGGAGCTTGATCAGATAGTCAGCATTGGGGATACAATCGTTGCTAGTGATTCTCAGACAAGAAAGTTGGGACTGCCAATATGTTGAAGTTTTCGCTGACGTTCCTTGCAATAACCTTAGTTGCACTTTTCGTTGTGGAGCTCTCGAGTGGTCAACCTACAAATGGCTCACAATCAACCATCAACAACAATACAGAAGGTGAATATCATAAGGTAAAAGCAGAGACCACAGATAACAGTTGTATCAAAAATTTGGTACAGAATAATTATCGACAGAAAATTGATTATGTCTTCGCACAAATTGATCATTAGATTTTAAAGGAAATTTGGAAAAATCCAGTGATTAGAAAAATATAAGATTTACGCTGTGGTTCTGAATAACTATTACAAATGACGGAAATAGATTTTGTTTACAAATAACCATTATAGATGATAAGAATGTTAATTTCTTACGGATGAACATAACACTTGACGAAAATAGTTTTTGTTTATGGACAACCATTACGGTTGAGTAAAGTAATAAAGTACGAACATGTACCAATTTTACGAAACACCGTTCACGTACCGTATCCCCGAGTTCCATAAATCGGGGCAATGAAAACATTGAAGTACCCAATATTGAACAGTATCTTCCTTCTAATTCTCATTGATACATAAGAGTACTTGCATGAATGAATATATAATGAACAGTGCACAAACACATTGGCAGAATTGTTGCATCCACTTTCATGTAATCTGTCCATTTTTTAGTGTATTACTTGTACTTCTGTTTCAACTAGAAGTCACAATTTAGCGGTGTTTCACAATGGGTACACTTACCTTACCCGTGTCAAGAATTAGTAGCTTGATGAAAGGTTGTCATGACAAAAATGATAAACAATTGCGAAAGATCCGCACTTCTTAGATGGAAGTTCTTGGTTCCAGAAAGTACGTTATCGTCCCGACAACCCGGAGGAAAAATCTGCTGTACGCCGACTTTAGATAGAAACGATTACATTGTTACGCCGGGGCTGGGAGCCCACAAGCTTCATAAGCGGGGAGTGACGTGGAACGATGCGCGATTGATCTGTCTGATGGAAGGAGGTACGACGAGATCGACGCTAGTTTGCAAAATAGGAAAGAAAGTAAAGGATATTTGTTTTGCAGCTCACTTGGCCCTGTTAGATTCCGCGAGAAAAGCGGCCCTGTTCGAAGACTGGATGACAAAAGAGTCTAAGTCGCTTGCCTGGATAGGCTTCCACGATCTGTTTCAGGAAGGGTCCTGGACCACTGTGACCGGCGAGTTGGTCGATACAATGGCGTATCAACCATGGGCTAAAGGCCAGCCCAACAATTTCGGGAATATACAGCACTGTGGGTTCATCTGGAACCAGAACAAGAATGGTATTGGGGCTCACGACGGCCCGTGCGCTAACAACTATTCGTTCATCTGCGAAATCAATTTGTGTAGCGCTTTAAATCCTATTACAGTTTCGAATGGAAAGCTGGGTAACTGAGCTCATAGCTCGGCTTTCGAGCGTGATTAACGTAGGTTAGATGTCCCAGTTTTCGCGCATGTCTTAATTTCTGTGGCCCCGGATTAGGATTGTATTGAAAAAGAAAGTTTTATATATGAATTGATGATCTATACTTTTTTATTAGGCTTATCCATCAATATGTAAGAGTGGGGATGAGGTATTAATTTATATATAAAACCTTTATTTTTCTATATATTTTTTGTATGTATTCTACGTAAAAATATGAAAGATACGTTTGACGTATTAATTATTTCAATCGACACTTATATTGATGAACACTCTGTCGACCTGACTGCAACCTAGCTAAATGTAAGGGTTTGCATGGATGGATGAAAAGGGCACAGCTTTCTTTGAAAGACAAACGCATTCTGTTTCAAGTTCTCGCCAAGCAATGAATGTCACGACTGTCACGCTGTCAAGATATGAAAGGAATAGTGTTTGCTCGTTGCGAAAGTTGCGAAAAATATGTTTCCTGTCACTCAGTTCTTTATAGCTAACAATTGACAATAATTATCATAAATATAATAGGCAAATTCATGTAACTCACTTTTATATAATACATCTAATTAGCTTTGAGCAGATGATTCTGTCATTCTGCTTTCCTTAGCTTTCTTCTCTCCTTCTTTCGATTCTGCTGATCTTTCAAGATCAGACCTCCTTTTAGTTGAATTTTTACGTTACATATTTGCATCCTCTATGACACTTTCACATGTAGCGTGAGGCTAACTTTTAAATAATGTTCCTAATTAAAAATTTTTGAATATGAAAGTTGTCGAGTTATAATTGGGAGAGGTGATATCGTATTACTTTTTTTTTATATTATGTATTTTCCGAAACTTCAAAATCGTCTACTTATTTTTAAATAGAAATATATTTATTTCTCTAATTCTAGACCGAAATAATACTAAATTTTTCATGAAAAAGTATAATCCTATGTTGATGATAAACTTAATGACTAACAAAATTTTAAGATCAGTCGATCAGAGAATCTAAGCCGCGCAGCATTATCAGACAAGTTGTTCGCTGGTTAAAATCTCGTCAACCATTCAGTTTCGGAACATTACAGCATAATACTGTCCTACATAAAATTAAAAATTCTTTTAATATACGACGTGTATTTAAATATTTTTAATTAGACGCATAATTTATGAATTCTTTCAGATATGACAATTATTTGACTCACTCTGTGACATCTGTGAAATCGTCAACGATATTAAAGAATGTTTCAAACAAAATTTACTTGATTTTTGGGGGCACCTAATCTGATGTTAATAAGACTTTTCTATGTGGACGCGTCGAGGACATATGAATTCATAAAAATTCTAAGGCACTTCTTGCGAAAAATCATTGATTTAGAAGATAATATCTATCACCAACTTTCCACAGGTGAGTTCTTACTAAACTACAATGCATTCCCAAAATTCAAATATCTCCTAAACCAATGATTTTTCGCAATAAATGTCATAGTATTTTTATGAAGAGAATGACGCGTTGATATGCTTCATATGTCCTCGACGCGTTGATATGCTTCATATGTCCTCGACGCGTTCACCTTCAAAAATGTGATCAATATCAGCTTACATGCACCCGAAAACGATTCAAATTTTGTTCGAAACACTTACTAATATCGTCGACGGTTTCGACAATATTTAACTGGATCGATTTAAATGAGTCGTCCAGTATAAAAATATCTGTTCATGAATCAGTTGAATGGTATTCCTTGTGACTGGAAGTTATAAAACAGCGTGATCTCGTTACATCGTCAACTCAGTTCCCGATCTCGCGTCGCGGCCGTTCTGTTCGTTGCACGTTTGCCGAATCCAAGGAAAATAATCAACGACCGGCAAGGATCAGGTATCATTCGGCGACAATACATACAATTAGTGCTGAATACGATAGTCAGCATCGCAGATACAATCGTTGCTAGTGATTCTCAGACAAAGAAATTGGCAGTTCCAAAATGCAGAAGTTCTCACTGACGTGCCTCGTATTTACCATTGCCGCACTCATAATTGCGGAGTTCTCGAGTGGTCAACCTACGAATTTAAGCAAGCACAACGGAACGGAAATCGGAGGTGAATATTATACAGTAGGAAACGAAAGTATTCGATCGCCTTTTAAAAAAACTATATAAATATACATAAAGTAAATATATATAAAGTATACTACGTAATGACTAAAATGCTTCGTTTCAATTTTTCTGTTATATATTTTAAATGACAAAAGAAGTAAAAGAGCTCTTGCTTCCTAACTTTTTTGTCTGAACCTATAACAAAAATTTAACAAGTGCCTTTCGAAGATCTCGATAATTCATATGAGTGTTGAAATTATGATCGAAATCGATTAACCCAGAGACACGGTACAGGCATTGAAAGATTTCAAGAACTGCAGATTTTTTACAGTTTTTGGTCGAAAATGTCAAAAATCATGTGAATACTGCGATTTTTGATATCTTTAATTTGTTGTAATTCATAACAACGTCAAGCGATTTCGATGAAATTTTCAGCATTTGTGTAAGTCACCAAGATCTACGAAAGGCATTTTTTTTTTAATTTTTGTTATAAGCTCAGATAAGAAAGTCAAGAAACGAGAGTTTTTTTATTTCTTTTATCATTCCAATCATGTGATTCTAACAGTAAAATTGAAACATAACATTTTAGTCGTTATGTAGCAGACCAGTACCCCCGTTATTTAAAAAGAATGCAAGTCATTTAGTTCAATTTGAAAAAGATTATTGAGTTTTAAAAGGCGCTCGAACATTCGAATGCCTATTACAACGGGACAACTTATTCAAAATTGAAAGAAATCACTTCAATTGTTTTTACGATATTAGAGGAATTAGTTTAGTAGACAATGATTAAAGAATTACTTTCAAAAATTGCAATTCGCTGAAAAACTACAGGTTTCTGGTATATTCAGAGTGTAATAAATTGAGACGAAACTACGATTTTCGTGAGCTTTAATTGTTTACAACTCGTATCAAGGTCAACCAATTTCGATGAAATTTCCTACATCCCTAAAATTGCCGAGATCTACAGAACACCATTGTCTAATAAACTAATTCCTCTAACATCTAAAAAAAATTTAGATCACTTGGCCATATAATATAAAAGTAATTTCGTTTTATATGCCGTACGAATACTTCCGTGCCTCACTGTATGTCGAGAATTGGTAGAGAGACAAAAAGTCGTTGTGAGACAAATTCCAAAAATTGGATGAGGTTCAACAATCTTAGTTATCAGTTTCAGGTTCGTTATCCTGTCAACAATCTTTGGACAAAATTGGCTGTGTACCCTGTTTAAATAGGAGCGATTATATTACTACGCCGGGTCTAGGAGCCCACAAGATTCATAAACATCAGGTGACGTGGAACGAAGCGCGAAAGATCTGCTTGAGGGAAGGAGGTATGAAATGATCGCGGCAAATTTGCAAATAATGAATGAAAACTGAAAGTGGATACATATTAATGTCACGTCTCGTAAAATCGCGCAGCATCGTAGGAAAGATCAAATGTGTCACTGCACACCTTTTAAAACGAAGATCACAGGGTTTCACGAATTGCAACCAAAGACAGATAATTTTGACTAACGCGTTAACCGACTTCAGCATGTATATAAATTACCGACAATTACAAAATGCATTTTTTAAATTTTCATTATAGGTTCTCAGATACATAAGTGAGAAGACGAGAGTAAATGTATATTAGTCATCGTACAGTAAACAAGTCCTTCTAACATTTACAAAAACATTCAAGACGTTTGTAGCAGTTTCAAAAAAGTTATATCGTTTCAAAAAGTGTGTGGGCACTTTTGCTTGTCACTGCATATAAGAATAGTTTGACGTGACACTGATTTGTTTCTCGCAGATTTGAAGGAATAAAAGTACGCAGGCTCGCACATTTCCAACGTTACAAGATTTCACGTGACGTGATGTGAGTATTGTCCTCACGTGAGAAGAGGGCACATTTGCGTTTACATTCCTCCTCTTACTAGCTGCCCACTGCCGCAGCTATCGAACGGTATTGGCCGAAACGATGACGAAGATCGACGGCGTCATTAGCAACTGACGGGGGCAGCTAATAAGAGGGGGAGTCTGAACAGAAAGGCGTCTTCTTGTCGCGTGAGGACTATATGTGACTACGTTAACGGACAATTGTCTTTCAGCTCGCTTGCCCATCTTAGATTCTGCGAGCGAAGAAGCCCTGTTCAAAGGCTGGATGAAAGAAGCGCACTTGGATCGTGTCTGGTTAGGTTTTCACGATTTGTTTGAGGAAGGGTCCTGGACAACTGTGACCGGCGAGTTGGTCGATACGATGAGCTATCATCCATGGGGTAACGATGAGCCCAACAATTTAAGCGATAGACAGCACTGTGCAGTCCTATGGGAAAAATTTAAGGAAGGTGGGGGGGCTGACGACATCGCCTGCGACGACAAGTGTTCGTTCGTCTGCGAAATCAATTTGTGTAATTTAATATAATAACTTAAATTTAATATAATAATTAAATATAATAATTAATTGTGTAATAATTTTTAATAACTCATCTTCAAAGCATGATTATCGTAATTTGTCCAATAAGAAACGCCCAGGACAAAACGATCCCATTTTTCCCCTCGCCCCCATCATTGCAGCGCCACCAAAATACAAAATAATTGTACATGGAATGTGGAAATCAAAAGGAGGATCGATGTTAACAATGCATAGAATATAGAATTAAGTGGACGATACAATATAATACATACAATATGGAATCAATAAAATTATATGAGATAATATGTATATGAAATATAGGGAAAAATAAGTGAAAATAAAAAACAATGGTTAACAAGATTCTGTTATATTCATGTATGATACGTAACACTTTTCTTTGCCAGGAATTTGGCATGTTAAATTTGTGAATTAACATAAAAAACATTAATCGCTAACAGAAAAACCTAAATAATACAAGAAATATGGAAATGTTTTTCTTATTCCTTAACAAAAAATGGAAGATTTCAGAAGAAACCGAAACGTTTACTTGTTGTATGGGTGATTTGAAAGTGACAGTTTTCAAGCATTTATATAAAATGACTCCCATTAATATTCGGACACTTCTTGAAACACAATAACATTTTCAAAACTGGAATAAACGATTTGAATTTTTCTTAGATGATACAGGGACTAGTTTACTAGACAATGACTACGCTACTTTCGTTATAATTTTACAATTACTTGGAATGGTAAAACAAAATAAAAGACTCTCGTTTCTTGGCTTTCTTATCTGAGCCAATAACGTTTAAAAAATACGTTGTGTAGATCTCGGTAAGTTATACGCATACTGAAAATTACATCGAAATCAGGTGACGTAAAGTCAAGCTACAAAAATTGGAATAACTGCAAATTTCATACACTTTTGTCGCAGGGGTTACTGCGACGGTTTATATAAAATAATCCGAGAGTTTTTTTGGTTTTTATATAACGAGAACTTTAATATAACTTGTAACAAAAGGCGATGGGGTACAGTGTGTAGAAGGTAAAGGTAAACGAGTGACGGATGATACAGAAAAATGGACACGTTGAGAGTCGGAGGAAAACTTGCTAACTGACTTCTCTCGGTCGAGAGGTTCTCGTATTTATTGGTAGGGAAAGTCCTTGAAATTGGTAAGGGAAAGTCCTCGGGAAGGGCGAAGGCCTTTCCCGAAGATTTTCCGACCGGGGTGATCCGGGACCTATGGTCCGAAGCTGTGTCCCAACGTTTTTATTGTTTTATTGCGGGGTGTACGCCTTGCGTCGGGAAAACCCGAAAAAGGCATGTGTACACCCCGCTTTTGAAGGACGTGTCTTTTTATGTCTGGTCCGCCACACACTTATCGGCCGTTGAACACGAATACAAATACATAGTAATGCTAGAACAAAAACAATGACTTAACTTTCTTATTGCTAATTCTTTATACATGAAATTTTTTTTAATATATTGGTCAGATCCTTTTAATTAAAATAAGACCAAATACGACATGCTTTTGGGATTGCATTTTACGGAAGGTACACGCAAGGTTAAGGATCACGAAAGGGATATTAGGAAAAGCCTTCGAAAAACGTACGAAAAGTCTCCGCACGTAACACTTATATCAAACAAATGTTTGCTTATCTACTGCTGTTGTTAAAAAATGAAAGTAATTTTTCATCGCGTCAAAGTGATCTAACCCCTTCAGGGGCAGCTGCTCAAGAGCTTGCCCCCGTACAGGCAGCGATTTTCAGCACAGGGAAAACAAACGACGATCGGTGGGCTCTAGGCACCACTCCCGAGGGAAACAGCCATACTCCCTTCCATAGCTTGCCGTGGGACTCCCCACCAGTAACAACGCGTTATTTGAGTGAAGATAGTGACAAAGATCGAAAATAGCTTACGTCGAGATTGAGTGAAGTAGAATGAGCGCGAACGATCGACATACATATAACGGCAACGCGTGCGAGTGAAACAAGGGTTGCAAGAAAATATTAACACTTCCCTCTTTGATTTCTCTCGCCCCCAAGACGCTTGCCCCTAGTTTTTCCAGGGCCGAATCAAAATTTTCGGGCCTTTGTACATGAGGCGACTATGCGAGCAAGATCCCTCGATGGAGGTCTAAAAATCGTTCCTGAGCAACCTAGTCTAACAGGCACTCAGCTGCAGTCGCTGTACAGATCACTTAACCCTTAAATGCATGAATTAATGAATTTTATTTAAAAAATAGGGTTATAATTTTTCAAATGAGTGGAAATCGGGAAAAATATTAAAAAAAATTATAAGTCATATCTTATAGGGTTTTTATTGAAAAATATTAATGATTCATTTTTGGTACACTATGCAAAATAGACATAAAAATTCTTTAGTTAGTATGACATATCTATAACAAAATTATAAACCACATGCATACCACACCAAAACAAAACCAACAAACCGATAAAGGAAGCATAGTACTAAATACATGTCGTAATTATTACCATTAGTGCATGTTGTCCCATTTTTGTATCAACACGAAATAAGCCCTCCATACACATGATAGTTACGGAATATAGACAAAAGTACTAGCAAATTAATAAATAAGAGCCTTACCTTTAGAAAATATTGTTTGTTTAACGAATACACCAAAATATTTCTAAATAATCCACTTCCAAAAGTACGTAAATGAACCCGCTATCAAAAATGCGCGCCAATTGGTATAACGTCAGAAAGATACAAATATTGAAGTCAAATGTCATTATTTTAGTTAATTTTTGATAAGTCAATGGACAAAGGAATCACTGCCATTCAGCCAAATGTATCGATATCAAAACTGTTGTCGGGTATCCGCGCAAAAAGTTATTGATTCATTTTTGGGACTCTATGCATTTAAGGG